TAAATTCACCTATTGTCAATTCGGTGCGCTTATAAGCGCGCAGAGACGACGATGGAGGAGATCGTTAGTGCCCGATCCCACTCCCCTTCCCCCTCATTCGCCGGTGACCGCCGAATAGTTCTGTCGGTGGGCGCGTCGCTGCATTTACATGGAAATCTGATGGGTCTCTACATGGGTAGACGATTACATTCCTGGCATTATGCTGTTTCATCGGAGGATTCTGGCCGCGATCTGTCCTAAGAATCCCCGGTATTTTGCATCGCGGCGCGTCTAATCCGCGCCGTGATTTCGACGACGCTCCGACCGAGCTATCAGCTATGAGCCGTGGCTCTCGCCGAGGAAGATCTGCGCGCTTGCGCGTGCGATTCTTACGCGATTACGGAGTCGTGTTGAATCAATCTAATCGTGAGATAAGCTGCAGGGTTCCGCGGTATACCTCGTGCCGTGTGCAAGGCGAGAGCGCGGCTGGAGGATATCGCGGACATAATTCGGTCGAGATGTTGAGGCAAACCGGAGGTCCCGACACGCGACGTAAGCGCGAAGAGGGGAAAGTGTAATCTAAAATCGTCAACGTTTCGGAACGCAACAATGTTGTGCCGCGTATCTCACATTTAACGTGAGATACGGCAGGGGAGTCTTATTTCCTGCCCGAGTCAACATTGTGTATACTGTTGTACGAGAGAGAGAGATAAAATCCTAAAGTGGACGGGCTGCTTTTGGTCTTGAACGCGAATTACGAGTGAGGCTCATGGCGAAGAGAGTCCACCTGTGAATTGGAAGAATTTTCACTTGATGAAAATTACTTTGAATTCGATCTTTTTACACAGTAAAAAATGTGCTAAATTTAACACAATTCACATGTCCCAAACGATCCATAAAAATTTCTTTATTGATTTAATACAAGGTGAATATGCTGAAAAGTAATACAAATATTACGTCAAAAATTAAAACAAAATTAATATTCATAATTGTTAATCGATACTGTGTGTATAAAGTGTATTATATGAAGTATACAATATATTATAAACACAATGTTAAAGTAAAACACAGGTATGTTGTAAAAATTTAACACAAACATTTTAATAATAATAGAGTGTCTATTACCTGGAAAAACCTGGAAACCTAGAATTTTCAGAGAATTTGTTTATATCTGGAAAAATTAGGAAATTTCAGGGAATTTTATTGGAAATTACGAAATTTTAAATGGTCATTTAAACCGTGTCTGCAAACCATATTATTGCGTTTTTCCTAGATAAATTTTGTGTGGTTGACTGAATTTTATTTAATAATATTTTCTTCATTAAGAATTATGTAAAAAAGTAATGCAGGATTTTTCTCTCGACTTGATTTTTAATTAGTTTTAATTATTAATTTTGATTAATAAAGAACTGCGCCATATAAATCGTAAGCGCGGACTTATAAACATTCTGTGTACATTTCTGTATACATTTAAAGTTGTTTTTAAATTTCTGTTTCATATTTAAATATTAGTACTCTTTTTATGTTTATAATAGATTCTTTTTTGTTCTTTTGATATTTAATATTTTCGCATCAAGTGCAATTTTAATTAAGATAGATATTTGTATTTTAATAAATTTATAAAAATGGCATTTTATATTATTTATGCATTATATAATTTTTTGATTAGTACATTTTAACAATTGAAATTTGAAAATTTTATGCAATTTGAAATTACATTTTTTAGATTCTTACAGTTTCTTTCAAAATTTTTCAAACTAAATCATTGAAACTTGAGTAATTCTTAATTTTATTTTATGATTTATAAAATTGTATGAATATTAAGGACTTTGTGTAATAAATATATATTCATTTGCAACGTACATTTAAAAATACTTTCATTTCACAATTTTTAAGAAATTGCCTAGATAAATCAGATAATTTTTAGGGGATTTTTTGTCGGGTTTGAGTAGACATCCTGAACAAAAACCGATTTTAACACAAGTACAGAATATTTTTTATTACGTAGTGCGTGTGAATCATCATGGAAACCAATCGAAATCATGATTGTATCATTAACAATTTAATGACATAATCGATATAGATCACTGTCGGCGAATCGTTACCTGATATTCGGGAATTTTGCAGAATTGGCGCGCAAATTTTCGATTTGCGGTTTTAACCCTCGGATCGAACCGTCCGGTCACTTCTTTCACATAGACGATCGTACGACGTGGAATAATGAATCGTAATTTAGCAGGTCCCTCGCGATATCCGCGTACGGGACGTGATTGAACCGTTAATTAGTCTCGAATTAAACGGCTCGATGCGGTCCGCTTGCGATTTTACAATTTTACAATGCAATTTCTCGGACGATGCACATTCTTCGATACGGGCTTCGTTCGCTCGTTCGTTCGTTCGTCGCGAAAATTGATGACATTTTTTGCTTCGTTAGGTACTCGGGGGAGAACGCGAACGGGAGAGAAATTAATTATTTATTCCTCTAAGTCTCACCCGCGTAAAGTGATTATCTGTTGGCACAATTATCTGTTAGCAGCATCGAATTAAGCCGCTCGATTTGAAGTATTTGCAGTTTCTGCCACTAATTGTGTTGCAGCATTTTAAACGGCACGGTCGCTGCGAATCTGCGATGTTATTTCTGGTCTCACGGCGGCGCGGTATTTCCGAGCGAATGCGACGCACAATGCCGCGTTCTGGAAAATGCGACTACATAATTCACACGCCGTGTCTATTTGTAATTTGTTTTTGCAATTTTTAATTAGCGATTTACAGATTGCAGAGCTCAAGGTATTCACGTCGTCCAGTTGTCGTCGGGCGACATTTCCAAAACGCGAAATCGCGTTATCATTCTCATTATTCTAGCGGGGGGCCTTTTCACATTCGTTGACTCGTTAACGCGACGCGACGTATTTCGTGACAATTGCGAAAGCGCGAATTACGATTGCGCGCCGGCCGGTGGGCAGGGAGGGAGCGCTTTTGCAAAATGCAATGAATGCTTCGGAAACGACATCCGCACGCTCTCGACGGCGATTTTACAGTTTTAAAGCGCTTGTTATTTCCCAAGTAATTGTATTATACGGACGATATAGCGAAGTACGTCCCGGGAAATGTGTCCCCCGATAATCTACTTTAATTGGTACCGGATACAGGCGCGGCAACTTTCGCCGCTTTAAAGTTGTCTCACGAATACCGCCGAGATTTACGGGGAAGAAGAAACGCAAGTTTTAATACATTAGAGGACGCGCGCTCTCTTACGGCGTTCTTTTTAACGCGCCCCGAGCCAAGTAAATAGCACGCGAGAGGCGGCTCGAATTAACCCTTTCGTTGCGGAAAGTAATATTACTCAAACTGCCATTTCGCTTTCCCGAGAGGGGACGCGCGCACGCGAACCCCACGCAGTCGCGAGATAAAAGAGGATGTGCGCTGCCCTCCGCGTCGTTTCGCCTAAACTATAACGTGGAGCGCTCCGCTTCCGCACTATAATGTCGACCGAAGAGCGTCCTCATATCGGAGTTAATAGAATCGCAGGATTCGATATATTACGATATAAACGCGAGATACGGTATAACGAGGTGCAAGAGTGGCGACGACGACGGCAAGTTCCCGGAAATAAACTTGTTGCGCGACCTATCGGTAGATAAAATAATAACTGGGGCACACGTAAAACTCGATTAAACGACAATCGCGATATTAAACGCGCACAACCGACGAGTTCTGTCGTGTGTCAGAAACTCGAACAAGAAACACACCGTGTGTACCTATGTCGGCGGGCCGCGATGGATACCGTGGGCGCGATGTGACGATATATTTTTTCCCCTCCTCTTCTTGCTCGTCTCCCCTCCCCGCTGCCCCTCTCGATTTTTGTCAGTCGAATTATCCCGCGACGGAAGCAATTGCATCGCCGGATGAAATATTTTCCCACCTGTCTTCCTCTCCTTCCCGCTGTGCTCCCGCAGCTCCCACGGGGGACGCCGTTAAAAACATTTCGCGAGAACGAAGCGGCGGGAAAGAGACAACGCTTTTTCTCCGGGTGTGGGTATTTTTTTCTGTTCTGTTTTTAAGGAGAAGGGAGGGGGGACCAGCGACGTGATTACGGCGAATGCGCGCGCGGCGTCAGCTATCGGGAGAGTTTGAGCGGCAGCGTACGAGCCGTTCTACGGTTGGAACTGCGTGCGTGTCGCTGCAGGTGAGAAAGGAAAATCAGCAGAACAGAATTCGAGATAGAGAGAGCCGCAAAACGGGTAACGCGAGCCCGCACGTTACATTTGCAAGGGCCGCAATTTTCGGAAATCGCGATATCGCGCGTTACGCCGGCCGCGAGCAAATTCTGAATCGGGAAATAAACGATGTTTCACAGCTGATAAATTTGAGCATCGGTGGACCAGTGTTTACCGCTTACCTAACGGTTAATACAGTAACTGTGTTTCGCGAACGAGGATCATTTTCGATGTCGAACGAGGGAATTGAAATTTCGCGACACGCGCGCGCGCAAAAAAGTTTAAAAACTTTTATGAACGTAAAATATCAAGAACTTTGCACAATAAATACATATTCATTTGCAGGATACATTTAGAAATGTTTTCACTTTACCGGGAACTTAATAAATCACCCGGAAAATCAGGGAATTTCTCTTAGGGAATTTTTTTCCGGGTTCGACTCGACTACTCTGCAGAGGTTCCCGCAAGGAGTCTCACATGCTCCTCATCCTTTGCCCTTATAAAAGGATGGGTGCGTAGAAAGAATACGCGAATTCCCGCGGTAGTAAATAAAAAATGTGGGCTGCGTGCGAGCGATGCCTCGTGATTTATCGATGAATTCAACGTGTCGACGCTCCTGTTCGCAGGTTTGACGAGGAAAAACCGACGGCAGCGGGTCGAATGAGAAGTTGAGGAGCGCAGGAACGAGTTCGGTCGGCGATGAGAGTTTGAGTCGCGCGGAAAGTGCTTTCAAGAGTGCCTGGGCCCTGGTTCGCGCGTTTCGTCACCGAGATAGAGAGCGAGAGAGATAGAGGGTGGAAGACGACGAGTGCTGTAAAAAGGAAGCTGCGAGGGGGGCGAGTGTGTCGCTGACACGAGTGACGCGACGCGACGTGACGCGGCGTGACGTGACGTCGGGGCGTCGAGATGCCTCGAGATGAGATGGCCACCCCCGTTGGAACCCTCGCGTCACTTCTCACGCTTCTGCTGTGTGCTTCCAGTAGCTGCCATGCCAGGATAACCAATCAGGAAATCGGTGAGTGGTTAAGGCTAAAATAATTTATGATTAACGATCGGCCGCTCCGACGCGACGAGTCACTGAGGAACGCGAAGCGGTGAATTTATGATGTGTTTATTTTAATCTGATCGCGGACCGTGCTTGATTAAACGCTTGAAGAAATTTGCATTGCGCGACGATACTTCGGACATCGATAACGGCGAAATAAGAAAGTGAAAAGAGAATGAGACTCGTTGACAACAGGGCGTCTTGATCGTTTCGATCCGCATGTACGTACACCCGAGTCGAAATTTACAATGTGCCACGGCGCTGATCTGTGCTTCTGATAATGCTTCTTGTTCTACAAGTCTCGTTTCAACTCTGTCAACGCTTGCTTTGTTTAATTTTGTTATTACATCGAATCCATAAATTTCAATATCTATTGATGCACAGCATTATTGGACACTCAAATCTTCGCCTTTACAATTCCTCTTTTTTCAGCCTTTTTCAATCTGCAATAAAAAATAATAATAAGTTAGTAATAATAAATAATAAATTGACAATATTATGAGAAAGGAAAGTTGTTTTGCATATCTATTAATCTCCGTGGAATTATTTAATATTTGCTTATTGCGTACAGTAACTGCAGCAAAGTAAATTACATAATTAATACATTTCTCGTTGGAATTGAAAATGGAAATGAAATGCAGATAGAATAGAACAGAAAAATATTGAGGTAATCGAATATTGAATAATTTTGAACGTCCATTTTATAAAATTTTCCATAACTGGAGACGTCCCTTTTTTAAGCTCTAACATAGAGAAAACGGCAGTAAGTAACCACATGTAGTAGCATGTAGGAAGACAATGTAGCTTGTAGTATATACTCCGAGATTCTCCATGGATTCTTCAAGTTTGACGGAACTTGCAGGGTTAATGTAGAACCCAAATTTCGACTCGGGTAAGGGCAATCACGCGAAACATCGATAAACTCTTCGCTAGATATTAGTCTCGACGGAGAGCGTTCCGACATTTTTCCATCGCCGATAGATATCCGACATGTTTTCATACCTTTGATCGAGAGAAAGTTACAACTTACGATCCTCCACGGCAAAACCATTGTCGGTGCTCGGAAAAAATAGTCGATATGAGTGAATCCGCGGCAAAATGCAGTTCCCTTTTTTTTTTGGTAAAAACTCGGCGTGTGGTTTGAAAAACGGACGAAAATCGCGTGCGAATGCACGTTCGCGAAACGCGCTTTTTTTTCCAATATGTATCGGTAATATAAATACGGCCGGTCGTTACGTCATATCGACGCTGCCCAGTACGATATTGAATTTGTGGTGCAGCTATATGTGCGTTTCCGGAGAGTTAAATAATGGAGAGCCACGGTGTTTTGCGTGGTTTCGCTGGTCGCGTGGGGACTTTCCGTGTATTCGCGGAACGTTATGTCATTTGACAAACGCGATCGCAATGATCGCGGACGACCAATGTAACGTCTGAGGAATGCGAAGTACTCCGCGCTGAGTCGTTACTTAATAATAATAAGCAAGTCGAGTCGCACGATGATATTATTATGCGACTTGTGTGTTGCGTTTCAAGATTCAACGCTGAAAATATGGATCACCGTTAACGCGACGGATATCGATTGTTCATTACGCGATCTTGCTTCAACCCAAGCGAATCTCGACGATATGCACCGAGCGAGCGATGAATGAATCTATCACTCTTGTTAATATATAATTCTGACAGTGAATTATTATCCCGTCGGTTTTGTTGCGCACGTTGAAGCAATATTAAAGCGCGTAATTTGCCTATCATTTTCGACATGTTTATGTATTATTATTCTCTCGACATTAATAGACCGATTCGTAATTTGATTTAAATTGAATCTGTCTGCGGAGACATATTTCAAAAAAGTCTCATTATAATATCTATATAGTTTTAAAGTTTCTGAAAAAATATTCTTCAAAATATAGTTTTAAAGTTTCTGAAAAAATCTTTCTCCATATTTTTTCGCAGCTTTCTTCGTTTTCTGCAATTTCTTCTAGGGTACAAAAATTCGTTTAGAAAAATTCACATGTGTTTGATGAAAACCTGCCGCATCACTTTTTTTCCGTAAAGAAGGTAAGGAACAGAAAATCTGCGGAAAAATTGAGAGAAAATTCGTTTTTTTTTTTTTTCGAAACTTCAATCCTGTTGTGCTGTTCGAGTCTAACCCGAAATCATTTTTATTTCCATTTTTATACGGTGAGTAAATGTACCGGACATTTCATGATTTTGTTTTATAGCTTAGTTTCAAATTGAACTTTGAAACAAAATCGTGAAATACCAGAACGTTGCCATTCAATTCACATAAAATTATTTAGAAAAATAACGTGGAAATAAAAATGATTTCGGGCCAAATAAACTTGAGCAAAACAGCGAGGTTAAAATTATAAATCTCATCTCTCTTAAATATAATTATAATATGAGCCATTAAGTACATCTTTTCTCTTTCTCACGAATCGAACGATTTATCGCAAATTTTACGATCGCATAAGCAACTTCGAGAATTTTATAAGCGTGGAAGCGGTATTGCGCGCGGAAAAAATCACCTTTATCTAGGAGAGGCTAATGGGATTGTATAATGTTTCCGCCACTGCGAGACACTTTTCCCTATATCATTTTTTCCCCCACGCTTCTAATATGTTTCGCGCCGCATAGCACGGCCGTGGAACTCGAAGTGAAATGTACCCGGCGCGGTATATGTATACATACATATTTCTTAATAATTCCGACTTTCTTTTTACATGGACGGGCCGAGGCACGCGCGACTCTTTGCGAGTCGGACATTATTCCAATTTTCGCCAGCGTCGCGCCGCTTTGTGTACCGCAGGACAAAGCGACGTATACTTTTGTTGCTAACGTGGCAATTGAATCACCCGGTGACAAAAGCCACCGGGTATGCCGACCGCGTAATTTCGTTCCTCGGGCGTGAAAATGAGGGGTTTTTAACCCATTTTACACACCGCGGGTCTAACGAGATCGCCGTGTCGTCGTTATTTCGTGGACCATCAAGGCCGGGCGCTGCGCTGCATGCGAAAAGAAAATGCGCGGCGGACTGTTTCGGGATTCGCCGCCCTTCCTGCTCTCTCTCTCTCTCCCCCCCCCCTCCCTCTCCTTTCCTACTTTCCTACCGCGCGAAATTACATTGTGGTCCTTCGAGACATGGCTCCGAATTTTTCCTCGATAAATCATTTCATCGAAATTGAGATTGTTAGAGGTACCTGTTCGCGCACATTGAGTCACCTTTCCTACATAATTGTGGAAATGTATTCAATTGTTTTTGGCTATATCAACTGAAAATTGCACAGTCAGCGTCAATATATGCGTTTCGCAGGACCAAATATCCAGGTTGAGATTGAATATGAATTTGTGCCGGTGAAAATGCGTCTCATTGTGAGAATTTCAATAAGCATCGAATAATTTCAAGTTAATTATAATGTATCATAGATTTTATAATTTATGAAACTTCGCTTGTGTATAGGAAGACTATTAATAATCGATAGCTTCGATATCTGTATATTTACGGTATCGCCTCTTGAAGGAATTTTCAACGATGCTTCGAGAGGTCGTAGTTTATAAATGTTTTTAATATCGCAATCCTGCGAAAGTTACGAGAATTTGAGAAGATCCGGAGAAGTTACGAATGCTCTCATACCGCAGATTCGAAGGAGTGTAAATCCCGAAGTTTTTACTTCAGGATCTCTCCGAGTTGCGCGTAGTGGTACTAACTCTAATTAAAAAATTGACGGTGTTATGCAAATTGGTAGACGCGCACGCTCCAATTTCGCTCGGTAATCCATGTAACGGCAGTAATTACCAATTCCACGGATGTAATTCTACCGGTTGAATCGACGCGAGTGACCGTAGGTTAATTTCTCAGACAAACTCGCGTTTAAAGCTCAGCGGGATCGCGGACGTCAGCGGACCGTGTTTCACGCAGTCAGTCCGATTCGTTTCGCGTTTAAATATTTACCGATCAATCGGGGATCTCTCCGTCTGACTCTCTTCCTCTCTCCGTCTGATTCTCTGACTCTCAAAGACGCCACAGTGGTCTTTGCGACGACAACAACAACGACGCCACACAATGGTCTTTACGACGACAACGAACAGTAACAACAAGAACATAAACGAGACGAAATCAGAGTATAGTCGATGCGTTACTCGCACTTAGTCGCGCGGCTAAATGACATCGAGTGGGTTTTATTTAATGTTCAACGCGAGACGGAAGTAATTACGGGTAGTCGAAGCGTAAAGGGAGAAAATGTGGGTCGTGGGATCGAGGGTTTGCGAGGCTTCGGCGACTAATTAAACAAGTCCGGGCCACGTGGCTCTTTCGAACATTTCGATAATTGTAGATTAATTAAAATTGCGAGGAGCACCGGCGGCGGAGAGTGGAGCCGAATCTTCTGGCTCGACTCTATCGCAAGAATCTCGAATCTGCGGTGGGACTCGGGATCGAGCTTGCGGGCTCAATGAAACGAAAAATGTGGGAGGCTTTTAACGGCGTCTCGCGATTTCGCGGATGAGCGCGCGACCGTTGATTGTTGGTCTTCGAAATACTCACCTCGACGTGATTACTTTTGCCTTCGCGTCTTCTGGTATTGCAAGCAGCTCTTTTTCATGTTTTACAATATGCACATTTACATTTTTCGGCGCATCGATTTCCGGCAGATGTGCTTTTCGACGCGTATTTCGAATCGGACATTTCGTGAATTTATGACGGACATATTCATTAAAATGCATATGCGCGGACATGTGTCGGCAATGCGAATTTTTGATCACCCGAATCGTCCGATACGCGGAGATACGAGATTTCGAAGTTTCTCAACGATATCCCCTCCATCGTTCTCACGGGATCCACGGTGTAACTTATTAATCCGACGTAAAAGAAACGCCGTAGAACGGCGATGTACACGAGATAAAGCGCAACGTGCGCCTAGGGAAAGCGTCTCGTAAAGTTAATACAAAACGCGACTGCGCTTGCGAGATTT